GAATCATAATCGAATATACCACACTTGTGAGTAGGAACAGTTTACCTCTCAGGGCACCGTTCTCCCCTTTTTCCTCCACGAAGTAACTCATCTCATCCTCGAACACAGAATTGTATCTGGCTCTAACTGAACTCTCTCTTCCCTCTGCATTTTAGGAGTGACATTGGATATGAAACTACTGTGACCGTTACTGGAATGCTGGGAGAGAAGCCATGCAAGGTACGGATCAGGGGACAAGGAACGTACGATGGGAAGCATGAAGACCAGTATTTAATTCAAGCAAGACAATGTGGGACAAATGTCAAGGTAACGGGTTGGATGCAGATGTGCCATCAGCTGAGCCTGGATTTTTGTTTACTTCAGTTGTTTTAATATAGACTGGAATTTTAGCAGAATTAAATTCTAAGTTATGAGGAGAAACAGCTCATGGAACTTTAAAAAGTCCTAATCTCATTCTGTAACTTTTATTGCTGTGATAGGCTTACCACTACCCACACAACCAGGCTCTGCGAAATAATCAGTTTTAAATTGCAAAGCAGCAATGGTTACAGTTAGGCCAAAGGCCTTTGCATATCACACTGTGCCTCAAATGACAAAGACTGTTTGCATCTCAAAAAGCAGGTTTTCTTTTGCCTTGTTTATTTGTTTGACATTCAAATGGACATTGACACATAATAAAAGCAAGAATTAGTGCATAGGCCAGTATTCTCCTGACTGTTTTCTCAGTGCCTTTAATGAAAAGAAGAGGAGCCAACTTTCCCTGGACTCCTTGGAAAATTCCCAACCTGCATGTTTCCTCGTGCTTGGGTACTGAGAACATCCCCTTCAGCTACACGGGGAGGAACCCTTCTTCCTTTTAATTCTTTCCCCCACATGGTTCCCATTTACTCACACTTCTCTTTAAATGTTTTTAATATTACTTTAGCTAAAGGTCACTGAAATTCCCACTTCTGAGCCCGTCAAGTTTTCCATTCCCATCATAGAAAAGGTTTTTGTTAAAGGCAGCGTGTGTGGCAAGGAAGGGGCTGTGATCCACACCGGAGGAGAACAAAAGAGGCAGACAGCTGCCTTCTGCCCCGGTTAAACCAGACTTGTACTAGCACCGAGAACTCACTTTACACAGGGGAACTTCCCTCAGTGAGCAAGAAGGGCCCCTGAAGATGCTAATGCCTCTCTGCCCCCTCTAAATAATTTCATCTTTTTCCTCTAAACTACAGCATGTGTGACTGCTGGGTGAGTGAGATAGGCTGCAGCACAGGACTATGAGAATATCACATAGCTCCAACTAATTATGACCTGCAACTAATAATCATCGTAAAAAGAAAACAAATATATTACAAGGACCCAGCTGTATTATTAAGTGCAAAAACAAGAGCCTGGACTAAGACCTTCTCTCTGTGTTACACATTTAAACTTTTCAAACGTGTCAAAGACGATGAGTACTTTTATTTTTCAAGCCCTTAGCTCTGAGTTTCAGTGATCTTTCTGCTCCTACGAGGAAGAACAGGTAAGGGAGAACTTTCCAAGATGAAATACACAATTTGTATTAGCAATGAAGTAGTGACATGTCACTGATTGTCACATAGTGCTTGCAGTAAGAGTAATGCTGAAATTTGGTTTATGTTAGGCAAGAAAATATTATCAAGCATAAGCCTGTCTTCCAAGTTAGTCACACAAGCTGATGATTAGAAAAGTGCTGTAAAAGATGGAACAGCCGCTTTCAAACTCCTGGCTTCTTGCAGCTCAGCAGAACCTTTCTATTCAGGCACCTCAAGAGTTTGCTTGCTCCTGTGTAAATTACATTCTCATCCTTCCACTGTCCCCCACTGGAGGTGTCAGAGCAGCTTGGTTAAAAGCAGAAAGCTACAGCCCATCCTCCAGCATATGGACAATTGAAGACACAGCCAACTTGTGTCGTGGACCGGACAGAGAAAGCAGTGAAGGAAACGATGTTGAGTCTTTTCACAGCTTTCAGAACAAGGTGTTCTAGACTTCTTGCAACATGGTGAAATCCTTTTAGGAAAACCCCTGAAAAACCTTTTCACGTGCACTGATGTTTTTGAGCAACCCTTTTAGACAAACTGTCATCCAAAAATAATGAGCTACTTCTCTCTGATAATATTCAGCAAATAAAGGGATTGATTAAATTAGAAATATTAATTCATAATCACCACACAAGGGCCTGTCATTAAACTTCAGCTGTACTAATTTCTTATATCAGGATGTTTTTTAACTCTGAAGCAAATGCCAGTTTTGCATTTTCCCAGCTGCTTAGTAGATCTGTATGATTTATTCTGCTTCGCAATTTGTGCCTGAAGTTTGTAGATCTAGTAACAAACCCCTGAATCCACTTGATTTCACAGTGGAAATCACTTTCTACTACTAGAGAAGGCAGAGGGTTAGCTGTTGTGTTGTTTTGTCAGTACACTGGAGTTCAGTTCCCTGGATACTTGAATACAGCTGCAGCGCCCATGCCGGTTCCAATGCACATCGATACCACACCGTATGCTCTGAAACGAGAGAACACATGGAAGTAAGACAAATCAGGTTTAGATTACCTGGGGAAAAAAAATAATACAATACATTTCAGCTATCCACTGCTCTCCTGTATCACCAAGAGATTCTAACTCTGGAGCAGGTCCTGGTGCCCTGGAGTTCTTGCAGGGTGTTTGCAGAGCATGTGGACACACGTTTTTCTGCTTTCTGAACAGGAACAAGTAAGTGCACCAGAAGCTCCCCAGCCACCTGCCTCAGACTTACTAGCAGTGAGGCTGAGCTAGAAGAACTGCTTTGACTCACATGGGCTGAGAAAGAAACTCTTCCTTTCCTGCCTCCTAGCAAAGCCACGTGAAGGGCAGTGCTCTGTAAAGGTTCAAGGTAAATTTGGATAGTCAGATGACATGCAGTAGGATTTGTGGAAAAACAGAGCAGAAAGCCTGATCTCAGAGCAAGTTCTTCTACTTCAGTTTGGGGTGGATTCTTTTTGCCTGATTTGCTTAGAATTGAACAGCTTGCCAGCGCTGTTACCCTCTCCTCTCGGCAGGGGCACAGCTCAGCCCAAGGTGCCCAAGTTACTTACGTACACATAAGGCGTTAAGGTTAATACCGTTCCTCACCTCTTCCCTCTGCGCTTCAATTCATTAAGCAAAGTGACAACTTGACGAGCACCAGTACAGCCCAGGGGGTGCCCCAGTGCTATTGCTCCTCCCAGGGGGTTGACCTTCTCCATGGGAATGCCCAGCTTTTCCACACAGTACAGAGCCTGGAAAGACACAGGGAATGGTTTCATGGAGATGCTTTAAACAGTCAGTACTCAGAGACCTGAGCCCAGCTAAACCATCTTTCCCAGTGGAAAGGAGGGGGACCGTGTTACAAACCCAGAGCACACAAAGTGAGCTCAGCCTATCGACTTCACCTCAAATGGAGCCCAGGTGCTTTCTGACAGGCATGTCATAGATTTGCGGAAGACACAGTAGTGGACTTTCTACTTTCGTAAGGACCTCCAAATTAGGGAGCGCAAAACGTTCAGACTGACACCATCCGATAACAATTTACAGCCCTTGGGAAACAGATTTTGCAAGCTGGTACGAGGATACAATAGCAAAGATTACATTCTTATTAATGTGTCCATGTCTTATGGGCAAATTTTTCTTCTTTATTTTTTAATATTAAGCTGTATAAGCAATGCCCTGCTCATTTTTATTTGAAGGAAAGGAAAAACAGTCTGCACATGTTATTGACATTTGGCTGAAGATGCAGTATGTGGAACAAGTTCAAATCTTAATCTGGAGAGCAAGCTGAAATACACTCAGCCACCAAATAATGTAGCAAACTCCAAGAGGACAATCGCTCACCTGGCTTGCAAAGGCTTCATTAATTTCAAATACATCGATGTCATCCAGAGTCAGACCTGTGGTTCAGAAAAGTCAGGATTTAAAAGGAGATATTTCTGCCTTATGACTGTATCAAAGAGAATAATTCTTTCACTGTTATGAATTCTAGTTCTACTCCACTAATGACAAAAAGAGGGGGACCTTGGCTCCACGTGGGGTATCTACACTTGTATGCGTGTTTATGTGTAACAATGTCACCAGACTGCAAAACGTCACAGTTCATGGTGTTGTGTCACTGAGTTTGTCAAGTTTCCTTAGATTAAATGTGATTTCTTTGCAGAGGGAGTAAAGATTGAAGGGTATTTCAAGACTAAAACTACAGGTGAGCATGCAACCACAGCAATGACAGGCAGACACAACAATAAGGGACAGCTATAAGAGCTGTTTAATCTGGTAAGTACGATAAGAACCCTGAGGATGCCTGTTCTACTGGTCAGATGTCAAAATTGTAAAGAAAAAAACCCCCAAAACCCCACAAAACCAACCCCCCCACATGCTGGTCATATTAAGGAAGAGAAAACAGCACTAAATGAACACTGAACACTTGCCACATGTTAAATGTTTGTTGAGACTGTGGAGGGATTTAATCCTGAGCTTCTCAAAGGCGAGGGAATGACAACTGATACATGAGTACCAGTAAACACCATTACGATAACCTGGGGCAGGATCTCTTTGAAGGTTTTGAATTTAAGTTCACTGTTCCTATGGCTGAGAGCTGCACATGCCAGAATAATATAATTTTAAATTTCAGTCTGCAGAGTGCGATGGGCCTTGTGCCGAACACTGTACGAATGACGAGTGGTTCTCACCTGCGTTCTCCACAGCTGCAGGGATCGCGTAGGCTGGCCCTATGCCCATGACATCGGGTGGGACCCCAACCACAGCGAAGGACCGGAGCACCCCCAGGATGGGGAGTCCCAGTTGTGCTGCTTTTGAGCGTTTTGCCAGGAGAACAGCAGCTGCTCCGTCGCTGACCTGGCTGGCATTACCTGTTGGAAGAGATCGATTAATACCTTTTTTGTCTAAGCGCATTCTATTAGAAGGCAGGTAAACCACAGGAACAACATAAATTTAACACCAGGGCTGACCTGCTGTAGTGCTGCCACCCTCTTTGAAGGCAGGTTTCAGCTTTGCCAAGCCTTCCAGGGTCGTGGAGGCCCTAATCCCTTCGTCTTGGTGCACGGTGATTGTTTTTTTGTTGCCCTGATTGTCTAGAACAGTGGTCTTCACTGGAACAATCTCCGCTTTAAACAGTCCCGTCTGCTGAGCTTTTGCTGCTCTGTTAAAGAAGAGGATGAAAGGTTAAAATATTCTGGAAATGAACTGCAAGAGAACTCATGTCAAGGAAACCAGTTAGTAAAAGACTTAACCAAGATGTCCTCATGCAAGAGGCGAGGATCGCGTTCACATACCCTTTGGCGATATCAGTTCAATGTCAGTGAGAAAGGCTGGCATGCCAAGTTCCCTAAGGAGCGGGGCCAGAATTTAAAGGTTAACTGGCCTGTGCAGTGGTTTCCTGTATTAGATAAATAATTGGACCGGGGCGATGCTTAAACAGAGCTCTGAAAGTTAGTTTAACTCTTTGACGGCAGCAACTGTGACACATCACCTGCCACTGGACTGCCCCACGGATTCCAGGGGTCAGGTTAAATCACTGCCAAAGGAAACTAAGAGGAACGTTATCAGAGGTAGAATTGGACTCGCTCGGAGCCAAACACCTGCAGTGAAGACAAGCCGCTTCTCATAAGCTCAGCAGTTCTCTAGAAACAGCTACGTTTAAATATTCCCCCCCTTCGGAAAGGCTCCTTCTGCTGCCACCCTCGTGTTTTTTCAAATGAGACTGAGCCAAAGCCACACTGAAAATATTGATCCATACATTCACTTCAGAAACCTCGGCCTTTGGATGCTGGAAACACAGGGGCTCTCGGTGCGCAGGGCTCACACGCCTGGTGACACGTGTGTACGATCGGTCACAATCCCCTGTACAGCTCTGGGCTCAGCGTTCCTTATTGCACAACCGGGGACACGCACTGGTCTCCACTCTGACCATCTCAAGCTGCTTTACTCACTATTAAGTTTTCAAAGGCAGCGTGAAGGCTGCACTTAACCAATCTTGCGAAGCAGTAAAGCTTTTTTTCTCTGTATTTATGCTTTAATTAAAAAAGTTAAAAAAATAAAATTGATTTACTTTTGTTGGGAAACCAAGGCGAAGGCATCTTGCTTCTTTCGGGAAACTCCAAACTTCTCTGCCACATTTTCTGAGGTTATTCTGGGGAAAACAAAAATCACAGAATTAATCAATGACACAACTAATGGAGCTGCAGTTGCCTTCTACTAAGAAGTCTCCAAGCTAACTGCTGCCTTCACTACCTAGAACCACTTGGCAGAAGCAAATCCTGAATCAAATCCAGAATGAAAACACGGTTCAAATCCACTCTGAACTTTTTACTCATGAAGTCACTGAACTTAAGACATAAGACAAGGAAATACTTCATCAGAGTTGCTGATCCTCCCATCATCTCACACAATGAATCTTCCACCGCAACAAAGCTCTCTGTATTCAGGTTGATTTGAAACAGTAGGGTCACCGAGACAGACATCTAGAAACCCCTGAAACTTTGGGAAAAGGAAACACTTACCCCATAGGAATAAGGCAATCTCGAGCCTTGCTGTTCTCCATCATGCTGGAACCGATGTCACCCGGGTTACTTGCATCTCTGAGGGACATCGTTTCCACGCTAAACACAAGAAAAAAACTGAATTTGCTACCCATGTTTTCATACTGTATTTGTGGTGATTGCTCAGTCAAGACTTATCAGAACTCAGTATCTTGACAGCATGCCTTCCTATCACCCTACTTCAGCTGATAATGAACAACTGGCTGAAGCAGAAGCATCAATGTAAAAATTACCATGGAATGAAAACAGATTGCTAGATAAAATTGATCCTTGTTTCACCAAGGACAGGGCACCAATGTCAGCAGTGAATTTCTCATGTTTCCACACTGAGGAAGGAATTGCTAATGATTCTGGCACTTTTGTCCTCAATCAGAATGAGAAATCTGAGGTTCTAGGACCGGAGTTTCCAGCGAGATTGTCAACAGCCATAAAAATTCCATTTACAGCTGAAGAATCGGTTGGTAGTATAAGTATTAAGCAAACCATGACAAAGAGATTTTCAGTGAGTTACACCATTTGTATTTCGCAACACGGGAGAATTTAAGACTTGGATCCCAGAGGCTGCAGCCCTTCACCTAGAAATGAGTTAACAGATCGAAGATACCCAATTTTACCGCATAAATACGCAGCCATCGCTTAAGACTAAGTTTTTGTGAAGTCTGTCTAGACCATGAAGCCTAAGATGGGAAGAGGGTTGGATTTCTACTCTGCACCACATAAATACATTAACCAAGAGTAAGTAACAAAGAAAACACTCCCAGAAAACGCAAGGCAAGCAAAAAAAGTTAAGGCTTTTCCCCAACCAGCTTACAGTGTTATCAGGAATTTAAACCAAGTCTAATATGGCACACTGCATTACTTGACTTCAGCGGCATCTACTCCCAGATGGAAAGCACAGAATGAGGCTTTAAGAGCAAATCACAGCTCCTGCACTTTTGCGGCAAAGGGCATCCAGTATCTTCCCACCAACAGAGCAGGTGAGTCCACTCAGGGGGAGAGCACGACTTGGGATGAACCCAGCTCACAAATGTCATTTGTAACATATGGATTTTATGTCTTCAAGAAGAGCACTGCAGGGGAGAGGCCAGAAAACTTCCCACGATGAAAGGCGGTGGCTTGCACATCCAAAGGCGCAAACCCTCTGAGCCTTTCAGTACCTTTAAGTGTATCAAGATCTTGCTCAACCAAGTGCATGCAGGTGTTGAGAAGTGGTAAATATAAATATTTTCCTAAGGGCTACCGGATGACTGTGTACAGTAATAATTCAAGAAAGACTTAGAGTTACCAAGGTAAAGAAAAAGAGAAACCCAATATTTCAGCCTCAGGATTACGGAATACTTTTTTTTTTTTAATTAATTCTTCTGAAGTGAATGTGTATGTGGTTACTAGTATTTCTCCAAAGCCAACCTAACATTTACAGAATCCTCTAAAAAATAAACACTTCTTGTCATGTTAGGACTGCAGCAAAGAACAGGATGCCCATCCACTGCAAAAGAACATCCGCTGTGAGTCTGTAGAACAGTTATTCGCACGGGTAGGACATTAATTTTTTTATCGAAGATAGCTGCTGGTCTTCTAAGACACTAGTTAATTGGAGATGAGTTAAAAAGCTAATTATGGCAGGCACTTGCAGGCTGTCAGAGCTCTGCACACAAATGGTATCCTACAGCAGGGCCGGGGACCCGAATAAAACAGCTTTTTGCATGCTTGTAAGAGACACTCAGGCTCTTATTGCAACCCCAGCAGACATGTCACCAAGACAAAAACTTCTAGGGAATTACAGGACTTTCAAGCACGCTCTCTCAGACCCTGTAAGATGAACCGATCTTCTGTGAAAGTACTCAGCAGCCTCTGGACATACTCAAATTGCATCTGCAGCCACCACTTAAATTCAGGTCCTAATTTTTGAGTTTATTCATTTGTTAAATGAGGACAGCATCTATTTCCTTGTGGGGGACAGATCTCATTGGAAGGGATTTCTCATTCCTAACACAAGAGCTACTGCAGAGGGACAGAGTGCGACCTTCAGGCAGCATAAGGAAGGACCACAAAAAATAAATTCTTACCCACAGGCCAAGCCAATGTCATACGAGCCATTTCGGATGCCACCTGTAACAGCAGTGCACGAACATTCTTACTATCACCAGGAGGCAAAAGCATTTCCATCCCACCTGCTGTTTCATGAACACCTGAGATACCCAGTACAGCCAAATGGGGCATTTCCTCTGCCCTCCCACCTGCCAGAACATGAGCAAGGCCAAGGAGCTGATAGGGCTGAAGAGTAACCACGAGCTGACACGCACCCAAAGAAGACAGGAGGGACCCTTCTAGAAGGCGCCCAACGTGAAAGTGATGGTAGAACTCATCCTCAGAAAACCAAGTTACTTCTCTAGGGGTAACCTCGGCCACTCAAGAAAATATTCACCTAATACCACACTGAAAATTACCAACAGGAGAAAACATCATCACTATTTTTACTGCTCACAGAGACTGGAGGACAGGAGAGATGAGCATGTGGGGTGGGGCAGGCATTGACTCAGCTCCAAGTACCCATAACACTCACCTGCTATATTGATAATGGCCTGTAGCCCAGAGGAACACTGCCGGTTCACGCTCGAGCATGGCACCGTCTCTGGAATACCACTAAGAAATAAGGCAGCATTGGCAAAAAACTCAGTGATGAAAAACAGCAACAAACCAAACCTCTAAACAGAGCATTATGCCACTTAATTAAACATTAACCCTGAAGTTCAAGACATGCCTTTATATATTCATTGACCTATTTGATCCTGCACCAAAAGAAAGCAAAGGTCATAGATAATTGCCACACTTGATTTGCAAGCAGCTCTGAGGGCTGTTTCCCCACAGGTCTGTCTTCAGAAGGTCCTCTGTAAGCAAGGCCCTCTCGTGTGCCTAGTTCCCGAACTCTGATCAGGGCCAGAAATCCTGAAAGGCTCTGCAATATTTGTAATTACTGGGGGGCTGTGTCTGCACCTCTCCAAAGTGGTGGCTGCACACTGATTTACAGGAGCAGACATAACTTGGCAATAGACACTGGCTGAAATACTTGGAAGCTGGGATCCAGCTCAATATGAGCCATCGAAACGAACAGACAGACTGCAAACTCCATGGTTTTGGGGTCACACTGAGCAGAGAGCACAGCTTGCAGTACGGAAAAGCAGCAGGTGCAGCTGGGAGCCCACCAGACAAGATCTCCCATTCACAGCCTCAACACAGGCAGCGCAAACAGACTAAACAGCCTCACCTCTGCCTCCCTGCCCCTGGGCCATCGGGGTTCTCTAAACACTCAATCCAAGTCTAATTTCTAGGCAAAAGGTCATTTGCTGTAACTTACTAGGAGTGTAGGTGCCTCATCGCAACCTCTGACCTAGTGCTGCTGTGTAGCCAAGGCCCAAGAAAGAGAGGATGAACCTCGATCTGGTTGAGGTTTTACCTTAGAAACTGTGCAACTCTTGCAATCAAAGCGCCAGCTCCAGGCTGCAGCACGTTTCCTGAGTGCAAAGATACGATTCCAGTCAATCAGTTGCAATTCCCTTGCTATTTGCTGCAGGCACCAAAAGGGATGTTAATGTCACCACGGCTTGGTACTGTCCGGCACCCAGATCAGAGCCCCACCACTTGACAGAACAGTCACGAAGGGCGTAATTCCATAAACCTAATGCTACACACTTACCCCTTCCAACCCCCTGATACTTCCAATTACCCCATGGGACACCAGGAGCAGCCAGTCCCAGAGAGCTGTCCAGACTGGGAATTTCAAGTCTGGATGGAGGTTCACTCACCCACACAGATGTCTCCCAGGACCTCAGGACGAAGATTGACATCTTGAAGGACAGCTGTCATAACAGCAGACAGCAGTTCATCGGGTGTAGTATCCTAAGAGCACAGGGGATTAGCGCTACTCAGGGAACACCAGTAACCACCTTGTCACCAGTTCACCCTCAGACTGCTTCCGAGGGTTACTGCACCATGCTCAGCTTTACTGCTCAACTCAAGACGGTTGTCATTTTCCTATAAAAGCTGAATTATTCTGCATCGTTTTTACCCTGGACATCTTCCAAGCACTGTAACGCACACTGCTTTCTCATCTGACTTGGTTTTATACGAGGGCCTTCGAAGATCAATGACTAAAGTGACTTATATCACAGAACTTAACAAGCAGAGCCTCTGAATTAATTTTATGAAAGAAAGGAGGGCATCCCCTCAGCTGGTGGCAAGCGCTGCAGGCTGACAAGGCCCATTCTGAGGGATGGCAGCAACACATGTTCTTCGGGGCCATCCTGGCACCATGCTCTTGCCCCGCTCAGAGCCACGGGACTCTGCGCTTGCCACCCAGCGAGGAAAGGGGCCACTCCAGGAGAAGGGTGGCAGCGCGGTCGGTACCCACGAAAGCCAGGCAGGCGAGGCAGCCGCTGCTTCTCCAGGCGGCTGGTGTTTAATCCCAGTGTGCGGGGAGGGGAGGCAAGGGGGGGACCCAATTCCCTGTGGGCACTGCTGGGGGGCCTCAACGCCTGGGGGTCCCCGGCCCAGCACCCTGAGGGGGCCTCAGCAGGCGGGTGAGGGAGGAGGCGGGAAGAACCCCCCG